GGCGTGTTCCAAACGAACGAGATGAGGCGAGTTGCCGCGTTGCAGCCTTGGTACATGTACGAGACGCTTTTCTCAAGCGTGCAGAGAGGCAGCGGCATGATCCAGTTGCTCCACGTGATGTAGTTGTCTTGGACCCAATGGCAAGCCGCGGCAAAGGCTGGGTCTGGGACCGTTGGGTCCTGCGAATGGTCGACATAGCTTTCAAGAAGATGGGCGAGGTCGAGTTGTGCGAGTTGGAGCTGCGTGACAAACGAAGTGAGGCGCGTGTCGGCCTTGAGCACCAGCGAAATGTACTGCAGAAGCGGCGTCATGGGGTAGTCTGTCTTGATCGGGTTCGTCGTTGGTTGGCCGTACCCGTTCTCTCCAAACGAGTTGGTCGAAGCCGCAAAGTTACTGGCGTTTGAAGTTGGGAACGCGATCCGAGTGAACTTGCCGGGGTGCTCATAAAAGAGTGTATCGGGCTGGAACTCGTAAAAAACGACAGCGCCACCAGCGTGCATCACCGATGTGACGTAGTTGCGCATCTTGGCATCGCCGCCAAAGCAAAAGTAGGCAGGAATATTGTTGTTGGACACCAGCGCTTGGATGAATCCAACATCGTACGCAGGGTCCATCATGGCCACGAGCATGCACTGCTTGCCTACGCCGGCGTTGAGCGTTTGCACATGAAAGACATTGCAACTCTGCACCTTGCGTTTCGGCTTGGGTGCACGCGTACGACTTGGAGCATCCGTCAATGCAGCCAAGCGTGCCATTAGGGCACATGCTTGGAATAACGAGTTGACTTAGGTTGGCATGCGCCATCGAGTAAAAGTTGATGACCTCGGTAACGCTGGCGTAGTCGCGCCAATAATCTGCCGCATAGGGCTCCGAAAACGACCCTATTCGTACTGTTGAAAACCACGCCGCAGGTACTGGTGTACCCTTTGTCGATGCGGATCCTTTGCTCATTTCACGAACGTTATCCGTCAGTGTATAGAGCCCGCTTCTACGTAACTTGCCTTCAGCTTTGAGAGAGACGCGCACAAGCACGTACTGGCCACCATAGCCCGTTGTAGTACGCTTGGTCGAGTTGGCAAACACCTCGATCGTTTTGAGCTTGCCGTTGGGCCAGACTTCACCGTTCACGTGCGTTGGTGTGCAGCGTCCGAGGCCTTGAAACGACATGCGCTCGGCGCAGTTGATCCCATCTGCTGTGTCCAGGATCGAGACGCTGTATCCGACCTGTAGCGTCTGGATGGGCATCTTGTTTTGATCCTCAAAACGTCCTACCACTTCGTCGAGGAGGATGCTCAGGACGGCGCGGTTCACGTCATGGGATGCCCATGCGTTGCGCTCGAGAATGACCGTGCCGTTGACGACGCCAGCGTATGCTTGTGACCCGTTTGCGTACACGGTCTCGCCAACGCCATGGATGACTTCACCTGGCTGCATGCACTTTCCAAAGATGTTTGGAATGTCCATGCGCGGGTCCTTGACCTATTTCAGACTGAGTCGCCGCTACGAATGAGAAGAGCTCACAAAGAAGCGCGGCGCTTTGAGCGCTGGCTGCAGCAGCGGGTTCACTCGGCGGTTTTGGCTGTCGCGACCGATTGGATCAAGATTGTGCGCTGTCGCTGTGCGTTGGACCCAGTCCGCATCCAGACACGTGCCTCGCTGCGCATCGAGAGCGGAAGGCTTAACGCTGCTGGCTGCGACCTACGTTTCATGAAGAGGCTAGCATGCGTACCATGCACACGTACCTCGAGGCTCCATAGCGCTAACGCAACCCAGCAACGCATCGGCCCGGCTAATTTTGAAATGCTAGGCGCCGTTCGTTTCCCATTTCTATTTCAGAAAGGTGCAGACCAAACGTGTGTGTAGTAGCCACACTCACGTAGCTATCACCGTCGACAACTACGTCGAGTTCAAGTCGCGTCAACAGCATGAGAGGCATTGATATGCTCGGGAGTTGTCCTCTGATGTTCTTTATTGCTGGAGGCGCGAGCTCTTGCTTTGTTCTGGCGCGTGCAAGACGGCACATAAAACTGTGGATTCGTTCAGCTAGCAATCATGTTATCGAGCCTTATCTCTAGTACCAAATTGCCTGTTTGCTGGGTTATCGGTGCATACCAGGCTATTCTACGCGCTATGACGAACTCGATGTGGGTTTACTAGTAAAAAAATGCATATTTGAAATACATTTTGCCTTTTGCAGTGCAATCGCACATCAGTGGGGCTGCACGTCGTGGCCACGAGCTGACGACACGACACGAGACGCGCTAATTGCGCTCGAGTTGACCATGGACGTCTTGGACGTCTTGGACCCTTTTGTTGCTTTCGTGCCGTTGGTCGCTCCAGTTGTATCGGTCGTCAAGTCTTCGCGGTTTAGCCGCGTAAACTTGGGTCCGAGCATGAGTGTCATCGTGACGATCTACACTTCATACATTTACTTGCACTAGGGCATAATGAAACAGGTACCGTGCAAAAGAGGGTGATGGCCGACAAGAAGCCGTACGCTGCGGCGGCCGGTAGGGCGACGAGGTATGCCATCGTCATCATGAGAAGCGAGCCCACGAGCACGACGCACGACGCTGAGAAGATCCAAATCGACTCTTGAAAGTCCCCGCTCACGTGCCGGATCAAAAACGACACATAGAGACCCACGAACGTCACGACCGCCTTCCAGAAGATCGAGAGCACGGGAAAGATGAAGCTCGACGAGTGGCACTCGACGTGGACGACGGTGCCCGTAAACTCGGACGCAGCTGCCGCGAACGTGGACGGTCCGGGAAACTCGGCAAGCAGCCACACAACAATGATACCTACAACCACAGAATGTATTTAGCACACTCCTGGGTCAGATGAGAAAAGTGCGCTACCAATGTCGACACCGACAATCGCACTCAGAATGTTCAACATGCGCCAGACCGATACGACGCGCTTCTTCATCGCCTTGTTTTCAAACACGAGGTAGACGCGGAGCGACTTGACGAGGAGCGACCCAAAGCAGAGCGTGTACCCGAGCGAGCCCACAAACGGCCGCGCGCCGCAGAGAAAATTGGACGGCGCACCGGCGCCAAGCAAGACGTAGGCGCAAATGAGGATGCCGCCGAGAAGCAGCAGCAACAAAAGGTGCCACTGCGATCGTTTGATGACGGGCTTTTCTCGAAACTTGAGCACCAACGCGACGAAGACAACAAGAATCACGAGCACAATCACGGTAATGGTGGCAATCCCCGTGTAGACCTAGCATCAACGCATCGAACAAACGTTTCAACTGACGGTAAAACGTACGCCAGAGAATGTCGGGACGTAATCGCAGGCGACGGTGGTATTGGACGGGAGAGAGACGCCGTTGATGCATTCGCCGCTCACGAGGTAGTTGGTCGCGCTCGGGAGCAGCCAGAAGAACTCGACGTTTCGGATCGAGCTGCTCGTGCACTCGGAGACCGAGTAGTTGTAAAAAGACAAGTCGCACGTCGGCGGTGACGTGAGCCAGAGCCCCCAGAGTGCCGTGTTGGCGGCGAGCCACTCGCACGACCGGCTTGTGTAGAACGGTGACGGTAAGGTGCCAAAGCCACCGTCGCAGTCGTACGGTTGCGAGCTATTGGCGGGGTCGGGCGTCGTCCACGCAAAGGTCACGGCCCGGGGTTGCGACGAGCTGTTGCAGTTGGAGAAGCTGTAGCGCACGTTGGTGCCCATCGTGCACAGTGGGAGGCGATCGACCCAGAGATACCATTTTGCATAGTTCTTCTTGACCCAATCGCACGCGACAGCATATTCGACGTCTGGAAGGGCGGCGTTGGACGCGTTGCTGGCATATGCCAGTAGCAAATTGTTGATGTCTAGCTTGGTGAGCTGAAACTTGCGCAAAAAGTTGTTCAAGTTGGTCGAATCCAAGAGGTAGTTGGAGTAGTACTTCATGAGCGCTTGCTCGGGAAAGTCGACGCTGACCGGGTCCGGCGATGGCAGCCCGAATCTAGTGCGTTGGTTGTTCAACTTGGCTGTGACTTGACAGGATCGTACCCATTTGAGCCGAATTGACCCGTGGCGAGCGCGACCATTTCGGGCTTTGGCCGCGGCAGTGAGATGCGCACAAACTTGTCGGGGTTGGCAAAATGAAAAATGTCGGGCTCGTAGTGGTAGAAGGTGATAGCGCCGCCGCTGGCCATCGTGCTCGTTACGAGGCTGCCCGTTGGCGCGTAGCCAGAGTAGCAAAAGCGCGCGGGGATGTTGTTGTTGCCGATAGCTGACTGAAGATATCCCTGGTCGTCCGTGCCGTACTGACCAGCTACCAGCATACACGTCTTGCCTAAAACCACATAAGCTAGAAAACGAGCCGGTGCACGAATATGTGTACCCTGGGCGAGTGCGGCGGTGCAAGCTGCGGTCTGCGAGCAGCCATTGAGGCACCCATACGTCCCGTCTGGGCACGCGCTCTTTTGCCCCACTTGGCTCAGATCAAAGTTGGCCATCGAATAAAAGTTGATCAAATCTGAGCCCAAGGCGTAGTCCCGCCACCAGTCGGCAGAGTAAATGCGGCTAAAGGTCCCTGCACCGCGTACATCACGTATAGCTTAAGCACCGCTCTGCGTACCGACGGTGGACGTGGGTCCCTTGAGCGCTTCTTCGACGTTGGCTTTGAGTGTGTAGAGTCCTGATCTATCCACGCGGCAAATCCATTAGCTCCATGGGTATCTTAGCATGGCGTTGGCCGCACTGGCCGTTGTAGCCAATCGAAGACGAGCTCGTTTCGTTGGCGTATACGTTCAAAAGGGCCATCTTGGAGCTCGTCCAAACTTCGGGACTGACGTGTGACGGGGTGCACACGCCCGCGCCGACAGACGACATGCGCTCCGTGACGCCGAGGCCGCCGCTCGTTTTGAAGAACGACACGGGGTATCCAACCTGTGGATAGTTCTGAGTCCTCGCATAAAAGGCAGAGTGCATACCACTTCCGAGACCAAGATGGAAATGATCGACGCCGTTAGCGTCTGGGACTGCCACGTATTGTACTCGAGAACAAAGGATCCGTTCCAGGAGCCCGTCGAGGCGACCGAGCCGTTGGGAAATACGCGCTCGCCAATGCCGTGGATAGATTGACGCGACTTGAAGCAACCCGGCTGAAACGCACCTGGAGAGTGCTGCCGAGGGTCGTTGAGCTACAAATGCGATATCATTTACTTCAAGCAACACAGGATGCGCACACCGTACCGTGAAGCGGGGCTCCCGAAGTCCCTGGCGCAACAAAGGGTTCGCTCGGCGGCGCTGGCCATCGAGAGCATCGGGGTCGAGGTTGAGCCGCTTGGCTGTTGCAGCGACCCAATCGGCGTCGAGGCACTTGTTTAGGCGCCGCGCCTCAAAGACAGAGGGTGACGTCGTCTGCGCTGCAGTCTCCAAGACAGCAGCCAGAACGGCTGCAAGCCAAAGGACAAGCATGGGCGATGCGCGGTTCGCTTGGACGAGTGCGTTTTGGTGCAAATTTCGCTCGTGTGCTGAATCGAACTTTAGAAGAAAACACTGGATCGTGCAAAGATACCAAAGATATGGCCCAAATGGTGCCCATACGCACAACTACGTAAGTCGAATGACAAGGCGAGTGTTGATTTAGACGTGCTTGGCATATAGCACGCTCGGCGCAAAGCTACATGGTGTCCGCGCCAGTTCTTGCAGCTTTGGACATCTCGGTGGGTGTAAAGTCGTTGTGGCGTGCAATAGAGCGACGCCGGTTGCCATGACGACATATTCGATCGTCTCCGCGGCAATCTCGACATGAGGAGGAAGCGGTGCTTGGATTTGGATGTCGATATTTTCAGTGACGTGGCCTGAGAATCCGCGGAAGCCCCCCGTTTGACCTTCAACAAACTGGTGGCTCCGATTCGCAACGTCCAACCCGTTGGGCTTGCGATGCACACCGCACGCTTGCGTTCTGCTGCTGCGTTGTCTCGCTTAGGACGGAGTAAAGTGCTTGCACGACGTCAAAAGATTTGCTTGGCGAGGGGTCGTGGCCATCGGTGCCAAAGGCACGACTTGGCGCTTCAACCTTGAACCGACCAGGTTGCATCGTGTCTTTTTCTGGATTTCAGCCAATCAGGTGCGTCGCCACGCCACCAGCGGCTACGTGGGACCACGCGGGTGGGCGTTCATTTCAGTGGCCAATCACGCGCCGTGCAATGTGGAAATGAAATCTTTTTGGCCAATGGCCGTTGGGCATTACGGATGTTACAGCCTAGTGACTTTGTGGGGCAGGTTGCCATTCGCGAATTTGCCCCGTCGTCACCCATGGGTCTCCTCCAGCTCGTGCGCCCGATGCTCAGCGTCCTCCCCGAGGTCGCGAGCCCCGACCGCCGCATTCCCTTCCGCGAGAAGGTCGTGTGGACAGTCATCGCGCTCTTCACCTTCCTCGTCCTCTCGCAGCTGCCCATCTACGGCGTCAAGAACACGGGCACCAGCGACGCCTTGTACTGGATGCGCGCCATCATGGCCTCGAGCCGGGGCACGCTCATGGAGCTCGGCGTCGGCCCGATCGTGACGTCCGGCCTCATCATGCAGCTCCTCGCCGGCTCCAAGGTCCTCGACGTCGACCAGAACATCAAGGAAGACCGCGCCCTCTTCTCGGGCGCGCAGAAGCTCTTTGGCATGCTCATCACGGTCGCGCAGGCCGTCGCGTACGTCATGTCGGGCATGTACGGTGATGTCAACGAGATTGGCGCCGCCAACGCGATCCTCATCATTGTCCAGCTCTCGTTTGCGGGCTTGATCTTGATCATCCTCGACGAGATGCTCCAGAAGGGTTACGGTCTCGGCTCGGGCATCTCGCTCTTCATGGCCAGCAACATTTGCCAGAACATTGTGTGGGACACGTTCAGCCCCGTCTCGATCACGACGGGCCGCGGTACCGAGTTCCACGGCGCTCTCATTGCGTTCTTCCACGTGCTCTTCTCGCGCTCCAACAAGCTCTCGGCGCTCAAGGAGGCGTTCTACCGCCAGAACCTCCCGAACGTCACGAACGTGCTCTCGACCGTGCTCATGTTTATCGTCATCACGTACGTCCAAGGCTTCCGCATCGACCTCCCGGTCAAGTACCAAAAGTACCGCGGCCAGCAGGGCTCGTACCCGATCAAGGTTCTGTACACGTCCAACATGCCCATCATCCTCCAGTCGGCGCTCGTCTCCAACTTTTACTTCGTGTCGCAGCTCCTCTTCAAGAAGTTTGGCGACAACATTGCCATCCGTCTCCTCGGCGTGTGGGCCGACGTCGAAGGCTCGAACGGCGCGCTCCCGATCAGCGGCCTCGCCTACTACATCTCGGCGCCGTCGTCCGCGACCGAGATCCTCTTTGACCCGATCCGCGCCGTCGCGTACGTCACCTTTGTCCTCGCGTCGTGCGCCTTCTTCTCGGCCACGTGGGTCGAAATCTCGGGCTCGTCGTCGCGCGACATTGCCAAGCAGCTCCGCGACCAGCAGATGGTCATGAGCGGCTACCGCGACTCGTCGATGGTCCACGTGCTCAACCGCTACATCCCGGTCGCGGCCCTCTTTGGCGGTGTGGCCATTGGCGTCCTCTCGATCATCTCGGACTTCCTCGGCGCGATCGGCTCGGGCACCGGCGTCCTCCTCGCGGTCACGATCATCTACCAGTACTTTGAGGCGTTTGCGAAGGAGCAGACGGACCTCTCGTCCATGTTTGGCTTTTAAACAGCCATAGATGTGTTCCACTATACCATACTACGACTAGGCCAATAGAGACCCACCCTTTTTCTGTACGACAATCTTAGTCGCTTTCTATCGCGTCCGCGTAGGACGGCGGCGGGGTCTGTGGACGGCGACCAAGCTGCGCGAGGAACCACGCTGTCTTGGGTCGAGGCGATGTTGGTCGTTTCGACGGCGACACAGACAGAGTTGCAGCACCAGCCGAACTGCGGGGGCGGCCGACGCAGCATCCCAGAGAACTTCGTGGACGCTACAGGTGACCCAATGGCTTGTGTGCACGGCTATAAGTTACGATAAGAAACCTGGGTGGCCATGGCGCTTTGCAGCGCACGCCGGAGGCTTTTGGACTGCAGCACCGCCGATGCAGAGGACGGCGTGGTCTAAGTAATAGAATAAGAAAATAAGGTTGCGCGACGGCGTCTCCGACAGGCTTGGTCGCTTGCGGCTTGGTGATTTCCAAGTGCGCCTTGGAGGCCGCGTCGAGCTGTTGCCAGAGGGCCGTCAGCGGCGTCGTGGCTGCGGCGTGGCGCTGGGCGAGCCGGCGCTGATGCTGCAAGCGGAGTTCGTCGCGCACGGCTTCGCGGTGGAGCACGTCGTCGGCGACAATGTCGTCGGCTTCTTTCGCCAGCGTCCGGTCCCTACGAAAAACGACTCGACAAAATCCATGTCAGCGCAATGCACATTTGGTGCCGCTCGGCCACGTCGGCCGGTGTTGAGCTCGTCAAGACAACGGTGAACGCGGCGCCCGCCGACACCTATCCGGATACTCGGCGGTGGGCGGTCGAATGCTCGAGACCGCCCATGTACCTGCACGACATGGCACCCGACAAGAGAACGCACGAGGTGGGGCAGTGTGTACAGCTGTGGGTAGCTCCCGACGCCGCACTGCCCTTGCTCGCCGTTACCCCAGGCGTAGAGCAAGTGCTTGTCCGAGATGGCCAGCTACACTGCATGTGAGCGCGTCAAGCTGGTTCATCTGTACTAGTACCGAGTGGGTTTGCCCGAGCTTGATGTCGTACACGAGCACATTGCGAAAGAAGATGACGGGCGACGGCCGGTGGCGGTCGCGGCAGTCTCCAAGACCCAGCTGTCCATAGTGGTTGGCGCCAAACGCCAAGACGTCCCGCGTGTCGGTGAGCAGCATCGTGTGCGCCCCGCCGCACGCAACGTACGTACACTTGCGCTGCTTGAGCTCCACCTACGCGCGTATCATTCGACCTCGTCCGAACAAAGCAAAATACGCGTTCAAAAGTGGAGCTGAGGGTGTCTTTGGCTTCGAGGCGCCCAAGCCGGCCGTTCTCGCCCCAACCGGCCGTGTAGAGATCGCCAGCACTCGAAACAACCGCCGTGTGCATCTCGCCGCATGCAATCTACATCGCATCATAGCATCAGGGCCAATATGACGGGCACCCACGTGAAAAATGTGGGTTTTGGACAGCGACTGGACTGGTCTCGGCGAGGCTTCGTCCTCGCGTCGGGGAGCGTCCACCGTCCCGTGACCCAAGGCCCCCGACTTGCCGTACCCAAACGTCAAGACCGTTCCTTCGTCCAAGAGCAAGGCGCAGTGCTTGAGACCGCAAGCAACCTACCAGTAAATGCCGAAAGAGTGGCCAATTTTCTGGGATGTGCAGCCGACCTGCGCAATTTTGCTTCGCGATGGTAGTCGAAGGACGCGCGGCGTGTCCAGAAACTCCCCGTTTCCAGCATCTTCAAGGGCAGCACCCAGTTGCCCATGCTCATTGCTGCCCCACGTGAGCACGTCGTCGTCGTCCGTAAGGACCATCGAGTGGTCGCCGCCGCACGCAGCATCCTTGATATGCATGTGCAGGCCCCCGTCCACGTCGCGTCCGTCCCACAGCCGTGGCTTTGTACTGCATTTGAGCCCGGTAATACCTACACCATGGGTAATGTTCACAAGAGTGATAAGCCATCGCTGGAAATACCGAGCTGGCCTTGGTTCGAGTTGCTAGCCAGACAGTCATGAGTGTCAAGGCATATAGCCTGCAGCTACCCAAAGACAAAGAGTCGATCGTTTGCATCCAGCACGAGCGTGTGCTGATGGCCCGAGGCGACCTTTGTCAGCAAGACGCTGCGGCGCGCACTTGGCTCGTCGGTCATTGATCGCATGTCGAAATTTGCGACCGGGATTTCCGTAAACGCAAACGACGAGTCGAACGAGCCGTGGCCGAGCGCGCCGTACGTTGCTGCAAATCAAATATTATCACTTTGCCGAATCGAGTCCGAGCGACTACCGTCGCCTGTGGTAAAGATGTGCTTGCCGTCGTTGCGCACGATCCGAACCGACACTGTGTTTGGCTCGTACCGGACGCGGGCGCCTGAAAAGCCGGCGTCGACGCTGTTGGTGCGGTGCTGAATCGATTCGGTGAGAATGCTCTAACACGATCGCTAAGACAAGCGGTCGAGTGCGTACTACGCACCGGGTCGCAGTTCTCCATGGCTGTCACGCGAAAAAACTGCGGCTTGTGCGCCGTCTCGGGCGTAAAGAGGATCACGGACGGGTACACTTTGATGCGGGGCGACGTGTTCCACGGCGTGAGCACGACCGGCTGCGTCGGCGGTCGCTGGAAGGTAAAGTGCACCGAGTAAAAGCACGACGACCCGCCCTCGACGACGACGAGCGACGTCGCTGAGAAGATGGCGACCGCGTTGGCCGCGACGTGGGTCAGCGTCGGTGCCGACGAAAGCCGGCGGTTCAGGTCGCTCAGCAACTCGAGCTCGACCTTGGACCCGCGTGTTGAGAGCGCGCGCTTGATGCTCGCGTCCATCTAAAATAGTGGGCACTTTGAAACTGCACTTGCTACGAGCTACCAAGTGGAAATGCGAAAGATGAATTCTAAACAGGTTAATTAAACGAAGGTAGAGAGTATTAATGCAAAAAGGGTGTCTACTCTTCAAACCAACGGCCGCGGTTCTTGGCGTCATCGACGGTCCGGAAGAGCTGCGCCTTGTACGAGTCGACCATGTCTTCAAACGACTTGTCCGCCTTGATCGACTTGGCGTGCTTGCGCTCCTTGCGCGACGGGCCCGCGGGTGCGGCGACCGGCGTCTCGCGCTTGCGCTTGGGGGCCACCTTCTCCACCTTGGGCTTGGGCTTGTCCGACTTGTCGGTCTTGGCCTTCTTGGCCGCCGGTGCCGCCTCTTCTTCGGGTGTCGTCTTCTTGAGCGCCTTGGCTTCACGCTGGCGCTTGCCGCGGCTCTTGCGCTCCGCCTTCTCGACGACCTCGCCCTGCGCCTTGCGGAGCATGTTGTCTTCGGTGCGGCGCTTCTTGGCGTCGTTCATCTTTTTCTACAAGGCAAATACATGCTATGAGCACAAGATCCCGCAAACGTAGAGTTGAACCTCGCGGAGCTTGAGCTTGCCGTGGTTTTCGAGCGCAAACTCAATGATGAGACGCGTTTTTTCGGCGTCGGGCGTGGCCTTGCCGAGCTTGACACCGCGACCAGAGTACTCGGTGTACATCGGGTTGTTGTTGAGCTGGCGCAACGCCGCGAGCGCGTGCACGTGGTGCGAAAACTGCACGAAGCCATACCCGCGCGAGCGCGGCTCCTGGCCCGGCTTGATGTTGTCCATGTCGCGGACGATCTTGCACAACTCAATCTTGACCGGCGCGCCCGACTTGAGCACATACTCGGCCTTGACCTCCTTCGTGTTGACGAGGTTGGCACGCAGACCCGCGATCGCGCCTTCGCGGAAGATCGTCTTGAGGATCTTTTCGTCTACGCAGGCAAACTGATGAGTCCTCAGTCTGCAGCAGCCATCTCTAGTATGTGAAATGCGTACCGACGCCAAGCGCAAGGTTGCGCACCGAGAGGCGGACGGGCGAGATGAAGAAGAGCGGGTTCTTGAGCTTTTCCTTCTTCTCCTTGATCGCGCGGCGGCGCTTCTCGATATCCATCTTGGGCAACTCGAGGTCTTCGTCGGCGGTCTAATCACTCGACATGAGCATATATATACAACCAAGGACAGGAATCTACCTTGTTGACGCTGATCGTGCCTTCGTATGCGAGGTACATGTTGCGCTTGTCCTTGGCCTTGCGCGTCGCGCTGTTTTCGTCCGCGAGGCGCGTCGCGTCATCCTTGTTGACAGCGCGCGTGATCGAGAGCAACCGGTTGTCGACGTAGACGCCGTCACCGTCGAGGAGCGCATTGTCGTAAAAGAGACCGCCCGAGACGTTCGACTTGTTCTTCTTCTTGTCCTTGCCGTCGTCCTTGACCGTCCCGCGCGCAATCGCCGCGTCCGCCGCGTCTTGGCTGCGGAAGCGCACGAACGCCACGCCCTTGGAGAGGCCCGCACTGTGGTCCATGACAACACGCGCGTACTCGACGGGCCCAAACTCACTTTCCATGCTCTCCTTGAGGAAGAGCTCGGTCGTTTGGAACGAGAGGTTGCGGATAAACACCGTGCGGAGCATTTGCGCCTCCGAATCGCCCTTGGGGCGCTTGCTCGCGGGCTCTTCGTCGTCTTCGTCGTCTTCTGCTTCTTCATCTTCGTCATCTTCGTCAGCGTTGTCGGCTTCGGCATCGTTCTCATCGTTCTCGTCGCCATGGCCTTCAATGTCCGACTCGACCATCTCGTCGTCATCAACCAAGACGTTTTCCTCGTTCTCAACGGCCTCTCCGTCGGCTTCGTCGACCTCGGGCTCGGCCGCCGCTTGCGTCTTCAGGTACTCGGACTTGGCAACGGCATAATCCACGACGATGTCGCGGCCCTTGAATTTGGTCCCGTTGATTTCCTACGCGAGATAAGGGGCCTGCAACGGTTGAAGTGGTACATACCTCGATGGCTTTTTGGGCGTCGACACGGTTCTTAAACTGGACGAAGCCAAACCCGCGGCTGCGGCCGAGCGGCGTCTTGCTGTCGGCCTCGACCGGGAGGCGCACGACGCGCGCTTCCGCAAGCGGACCAAACTTCTTGAAGAGCTTGTCCAAGTCGGCGTCCTTGACGTCGAACTGCAGGTTGCGCACAATGAGACGGACGCCCTCCTTGTCCGAGAGCGACGTCGTGTCCAGACTACGTAGTGTGTCAGCGCCAAACTCAAACTCAAATCCATTTTGTGTACCCGCGCACGAGCATCGTAAAGCCCTTGAAGACGTGGTCGTTGAGCTTCTCGATGGCCTTCTCCTTCAAGACCGTCGTCGCCCACTCGACGTACGCGACGGGCTCGTCGACGCCCTGCGAGTTGGGCTCTTGCTTGAGCTCGATCGACTTGGCCTCGCCAATCTTCTTCATCCTGCAATGGTCCCATGAGCATGCGACAAATCACACATGCGACAAAAGACGTACTTGATCTTGAGGTGCTTCTCCGTGATGACGCTGCCGAGGCCGTAGATGACAATCGACTTTTCTTCGGCCGTCGCGAGCTGCTCCTTGCGCTCACTCGCCTTGCGCCAGAGCTCGCGGTGCTCGCGCCGACGGGCGTTCCGCTCGCTCTGCACATGCTCCGCCTCGGTTACCGCTTCCGGCTTCTTCGCTTCCGGCTTCTTCGCTTCCGGCTTCTTCGCTTCCGGCTTCTTCGCTTCCGGCTTCTTGACCTCCGGCTTCTTCGTTTCGACGACGGTCTCGACCTCGGCGGCCTTCTTGGCCTTCTTCTCCTTCTTTTCCTTCGGCGCAGGCGCGGACTCTTCGATGTGAGGGACTTCCTCCTCGACCTCGGCGGCTTCGTCGCGCTGCTTCTTCTGCTTCTTCTCCTTCTTCGCGGGCTTTTCTTCGACGTCGTCGGCCGCCTCCTCGCGCTTCGCCTTCTTCTCCTTCTTGGCCTTCTTCTCCTTCTTGGGCTTGGCGTCGTCGGCTTCGGCCTCGACCGGCGCATCCTCGACCGGCGCATCCTGGACTGGCGCGGCCTCGACGGGCGCGGCTTCGACCTTGGGCGCCTCGGCGACAACAATGGGCGTCGCAAACGCAGAGTTTTGGTTCTGCTTCTTGTGCGTCGGATGGATACCGGTCTTTTCCTTGGCGAGGTCTGCGTATGGTGTGATGAGAATGCTGCTGTGGTAGAGGAAGAGGCGTACCGATACAGAGCTTGCGGCCTTGGTACTCGGTGTTGTTGAGCGCGTCCATCGCGGCCTTGGCGTCCGACTCCATCGCACTAGTGCTCATGAGCCACCATGGTCGTATTCCGCGTCATGCTACGTACAACTTGACGAAGGCGAAGCCGCGCGTGAGCATGTCGGTCTTGCGCTTGCCCTTGTCCTTGATGACGGAGACCTTCTTCACGGGACCAATGTCCCCGAAGAGGTTCTCGAGCTCCTCCTGGGAGACCCCATACGCGAGGTTCCGGACGAAGATCGTGTTGGACATCGCGCCGCTATTTCAGTAATTCAAATCCCAACCGATCCGTCCGGATAATGAAACGATTTGACTGGTCAGCATCTCCCTTGGTGCGCCATTGGCTCTGCATCCGACGCGCCCAATCAGCGCGCGCGGCGGCCGATCTTGGCCGCACTGACGATATCGATATCGGCCTACGAAGCGCTGCTGGCGAATACGACAACCTATGCCGACGAGTAGCATAGAGCTAGCGGCGCGTGTGTCCTCGTCGTTTGGGCGGGCATGGTGCCTTAGTGGTGAGTATCGCAGCCGTACTAAGGAGCAGCGTCGGTGTCTCGTTGCCCTCACTTGGTACCTCGCTTAATCGTGCAGTGCCGTCGCAAATAGATAGAAGCACCTAGAACGACAAAACACTCTTGGATTATCTCGTGTTTGTGTGTACTAGTATGCTACAGTAGCAGCTTTGGCCATTGAGATAACGATTCACGATGTCACCAGCAACAGGATACTGTAGTTGTGTGCCGTCGCGAATAGATAGAAGCACTTAGAACGACAAAACACTCTTGGATAAGTTACCATCCTTCCAAATATTCCTCTTCAAAAATTAGAGTGATTCCCTTGCGCCATGACGTCAAGTGTTAGTATTTTCATGTAGAAATACCGCCGTAGTATGTCGTCGATGCTCAACAAGCTGCTTAGCAATCGGTGCAGGTTTCGCGCTATTCCAAGTGTCGAGCGCCGATCTGGCTCCGGGGCCGGCCGCACAAGCACTGTGAAGAACGCAACTCCACACGTTCGTTCGCCAACTCGAAGACCTCGACTCTTCGTTGGTTTTTGGCCGTTGGATCCCTTCACCGGTAGATCCGAGTGGTTTTCACCAGCCCTCGTGGCGGTTTCCACTCACGAGGATGGTTCTTTTTCCTTTCTTCACTGGAAGGTTTTTACCACTCGACCTCACTATACCAGTCTCCGTAATATCAATATATTCCGGAGCAGGTCGTGAGCAGCCTTCGTGGCCTCACTTCCACTTCCCGCCTCACGGACACACTCCTCATCGGGTGTGCGGTTCTGGTTCTTCCTCTTCTTCCTCTTTCTCTCTGCCGAGTGCTTCACTAGCCCAGCTGCTAGTTTGTTAGGTTATGAGCCCAACTACGCCATTCTCGACTACGAGCTCGAACAGTGGCAGCTCGAAAGCTGCTGCTTCCACGAGTTCCCATTCCGAGGGCGATCGTCGCCAGCGCTCCACGCGCCCGCCGCGACAGACCCGGCGCTTCTTGGTGGTACGAAGTGTCGCTACTGCTGTTTTGCTTTCCATAAGCAACATTCTCATCATACGGATGACTGCCGCTTTCTGGCGCGCGCATTCGATAACGACATGGTGCCTAGGAACTTTGAACTTCCTCGGGCGCTAGCAACCTTGCAGCGCACACGCTTGCAGAGCCTGAACCCTAAGGGTCCTGGCAGACAGAAGCGCAAGGAACGCTACAATAGCGATT